CAAGGGCGTTTGAAGGAAACGTGAGGCGAGGCGGCGGCGGCGGGATGGAGGCGGCGCAGCGGCGGAGCCCCGAGCCTCGGGAGAAGCCGCCGGTGCTGGACGGGGAGGCGGCGGGGGCGCCCGCGGGGGCGTCGGGCGCGGCCCCGGCCTCGCCGGCGGCGACGGAGCAGATCGTGGCGGAGGGCGAGGCGGCGGCGGCGGCGGCGGCGGGCACGTTCGTGCAGCGGCAGCTCGGGGCGATGCTGCAGCCCGCCGTGAACAAGTTCTCGCTGCGCATGTTCGGCAGCCACCGGGCCGTGGAGATCGAGCGGCAACGGGTGAAGTCGGCAGGCACCTGGATTATCCATCCTTACAGCGACTTCAGGTGGGACCCGGGCCCCGCGACCCCCGCCCCGGTACCGGCACCGACCCCCATCCCGGCGCTGRTCCCCGCTCCCGCTCCGCCGCTCGGCCCGGTGCCCGCCGCCGCTGTCCGTGGTGCTGAGAGCGGCCCCGCCGCTCGGCACCGTCGGGGCAACAAGTGCCGGGCACCGGGGCTCCGCACCGGCCCGGGGAGGCGGCTGCTCGCCGCCGAAGCCCGGGGCCGCGCTGCCCCAGCCCCATCCCGTCTGGGGTTATCCCGCCCGCACGGACAGCTCTGTCCTGCCCCATCCCCCCGGACCCTCGGGGCTGCCCGGTGCGCGGGGTCAGCCCGGTTCCGCCAAGCCCCGGAGCTCCGCTGACCCGGCCCCGGGCGTGCGGAGGCGGAGGCAGGRGCTGCTGGGCTTTGCGTGCCCTTGTAGCTCCCCCCGCCCTTCTCGGTGCTGTTTTTAATTTGGTGAGGAGCCTCCATCCCCCTGGGACGCGGCTCCCCGCGGCTGGAGCGGGGCGGCTCKCCCGGCGAGGAGCCGGGCCTGGCTCTCGGTGTCACCGGGATCACAGCGGGAGCTCGGGGATGGATGATGTGGGAGGAACTGGGTGTCACGGGGATGTTGAGTCATATAAGGGTGGGCTTTCTCCACGGGGAATGAAGCTGCCAGGCTGTCATCTCCCGCAGCAGGCTGTGACATGGATGATGTCCCCAGCCTGGGAAGCACCCCGGAACGGGGCCAGCAACCGGCGTGGGTCCCWGGCACCTGTAGCCACCTCCCCTCGCCTCGGGGCCCTGACCACCCACACTCGCCCTTACACCACCCCTGAGAGCCCCTTTTTCCAGGGAAACCATCCCAAAGTTTGTGAGCCTTGAGCTCGGCAGGAGCAGCTTGTGCAACCAGTGCCACGAAGGGAGCTGGCAGGTAGACAGACAGGGGGATTACTCCGGTGTTTATCACATTATGGAATACATAAAGGCCATGGAGATCAGGGCCTCGGGTGTTCTGTCTGACACACAGTGAAGGACAAGGCCTGTCCTAAAGAGCTTAAGCCTAAATCTGAACTGAGAGCCCCAGACAGGCTCGGGCAGCCACAGRGACAGGCGGTTTCCCTGCTGAACACAGCATTTCTTGGGGCACAGCGTGGAGGTGCAGGAGGCAATTCCTCAGCCGGGTCAGACCCCTTCTGCCTTGGCTGCATCTCCTCACGTGCCCCAGCAAACCCTGGCCACCAGCAAGAAGGGGTTAATTTGGGAGAGGTTCTTGACCCTGGGGTCACTTCTAATCCTGGGGTGAGCTCCTGATTCGGGGGTCACTTCCAGCCCTTGGGTGGGTTCCTGACCCTGGAGTCACTCCTGACCCTGGGATGGGCTCCTGATTCTGGGGTGGGCTTCTGATTCTGGTATCATTTCTAGCCCTGGGGTCACTCATAACCCTGGGGTGGACTTCTGACTCTGTGGTCACTTCCAGCCCTGGGGTGGCTCCTGACCCTGGGATGGACTCCTGATTCTGGGGTGGGCTTCTGATGCTGGAATCATTTCTAGCCCTGGGGTCACTCGTAACCCTGGGGTGGGCTTCTGATTCTGTGGTCACTTCCAACCCTGGGGTGGGTTCCTAACTCTGGGGTGGGCTCCTGATTTTGGGGTCATTTCCAGCCCTGGGATCACTTCCAGCCCTGGGGTCACTCCTGACCCTGGGGTGGACTCCTGATTCTGTGGTCACTTCCAGCCCTGGGGTCACTCCTGGCCTGAGGTGCTTCCCAGCCCAGGGGTAGTTTCTAAACCTGGCATCACTGCTGACCTTGGGGTGGCTCCTTGAGGAGAGGGTTCCTCTCTCCTGCCACCTCAGGCTCTGGTGCTCTCTTTCTGAAAAATCTCCTCATTTCCCCTCCCTTCCTTTCCCTCGCCTGCAGGGAGCCTGGTGCCCATGTCTCACCGTGGGTGTGGGGTGGGAAATACCCTCAGGCTCCTGTCACCARTAAAGGCTGGTTTAGATCCACTGTGTGGACCTGAAATCAGGTCTGAAATCAGAAATTTGCCCTGAAATCACCTTTGGAGATTTGAGTCTACACCCACGAGCGGGTCCGGGGCTCACAGGGGATGCCTGGGGACACCCGAAGGTGGGAGCTGGACTTGCTTTCCCAAAGACCCGCGGAGGCTCCGGGAGAGATCCCGGGAATCACGAGCCTGGCGGAGGAAGGCGTTATGTGTCTGCGCGAAGAACGAAAACATCCCAGCGGCATTTGCATGTGAACAGGGCCGCTGGGTGTCCTGACATAACCAGCTGCTCCCAGCTTTCCCTGCAGAGCCTCTGAGCTCGTCCACTCTCAGCGAAAAGGGGGTGGATGAGGGGTGCTGCAGGCCCMGGGCTGTGCGTGCTGGCGGCTCTTTTAGGGTCGGACATTCTTTCTGCCTTCCCCCAGTGTTGGTGTTGTCTGTCCCTGCTCGGTTGCTGCCTCGCTCACCACAACAGCCTCCCCGATCCTCCTCGGCCTCCCCAGGAGCTTGGCACTCAGTTTGCATAAGCAAAGCTTATCCCAAATCCTGCTAAGCCACCTCAGCTGGTGGCAGGGAGRCAGAGGATGACAGCGAGCTCCTGGGAAGCAAAGCCCCCGTCCTCTCTGAGTCCTCCGTGGGGCACATGTCACCTTTGGGGTGGGGACATGGGGTGCGTGCACTGCCTTGCCATGAGGGGAGGAAGAATCTCCTGTAACCCCCCATGCCCACCCAGGGTGATGTTTCAGACTTTAATTTTAATTCTGGCTTTGCTGTGTCCTGCCTGTCCCCACTCCTCCCCATCCCTCTCCATCCCCTCCATCCCCACCCTGCAGGTTTTACTGGGACCTCATCATGCTGCTCCTGATGGTGGGCAACTTGATCATCCTGCCCGTGGGCATCACCTTCTTCAAGGATGAGAACACCCCTCCCTGGATCGTTTTCAACGTGCTCTCGGACACTTTCTTCCTGGCTGACCTGGTGCTGAACTTCCGGACAGGCATCGTGGTGGAGGACAACACGGAGATCATCCTCGACCCTCACACCATCAAAATGAAATACTTGAAGAGCTGGTTCCTGGTGGACTTCATTTCCTCCATCCCTGTCGACTACATCTTCCTCATCGTCGACCTGGAGACCCAGGTGGATTCTGACGTCTACAAGACGGCGCGGGCGCTGCGCATCGTGCGCTTCACCAAAATCCTCAGCCTGCTGCGCCTGCTGCGCCTCTCGCGCCTCATCCGCTACATCCACCAGTGGGAGGAGGTGAGAACGCTTTGGGTGGGGGTCCCAGGMTGGGGCAGGGGTCCCCAGCTGCTGTCTGGTGGGTAGAGATCTCCCGGGGCTATTGTAGGCGCAGAGTTTCTCTGCAGCTCCGCTGTTCCCCAGATCTTCCACATGACCTACGACCTGGCCAGCGCCGTGGTGAGGATCTTCAACCTCATCGGGATGATGCTGCTGCTGTGCCACTGGGAYGGCTGCCTGCAGTTCCTGGTGCCCATGCTGCAGGACTTCCCCGAGGACTGCTGGGTCTCCAAAAACCACATGGTGGTGAGTGCCCAGCCAGGATCTGCCATGGTGTGGAAAGGGTTTGGTGTCAGACATCGAGGACACCCCAGAGCTGTGTGCTGCTGAGCAGTGTGTCTGTGGTTACAGTGATGAAATGGGGGACAGGAAATCTCTGCTTCACCTTCCCATCTCAGCCAGCCTCGCTGGGGTCAGGGAATCCCTCAGGGAAGGGACGGAGCACTGGGGCTCCTTCTCCTCCCCGGGGCACCTCGCTCAGGGTGCACCCAGTCCCAGCTCCTCTTCCTGGAGGAGATCTCATCCCTTTGCCCCTGGAGGAACTTTGTTTTCGCTGGGGGTCTGCAGGGAGGTGAGGCTGGGGGTTCAGCCCCCTTAGTACCACCATCCCTCCTCCACAGAACGACTCGTGGGGGAAGCAGTACTCACACGCGCTGTTCAAGGCCATGAGCCACATGCTGTGCATCGGCTACGGGCAGCAGGCRCCSGWGGGCATGWCSGACGTGTGGCTCACCATGCTCAGCATGATCGTGGGTGCCACCTGCTACGCCATGTTCATCGGCCACGCCACCGCCCTCATCCAGTCGCTGGACTCGTCGCGGCGCCAGTACCAGGAGAAGGTCAGCGGGGCCGGGGGGACGGGGTCTGGGTGATGGGGGAAGGGTCCTGGTGTGAGCAGGTGCG